TATATTCATGTACAAAGGCCAATTGATTATCTTTTATCTAGTTTATATTTTTGTTGGCAAATAAATATTTTATCTTTCTTCAGCTTTCTAGTTATAGGACTTCCATTCAGCCAGATTTCAGGCTGTCTAAATGAAGAAATGTTCATGGGTTTACCAGTATAATATTTTCATCCTTCCCATAAACATGTTAGCTTTGGTTATAAACTCAAAAACATGAACATGGTTAACCAAATTAATGTCTATGGGCCTTGCTTCAATCGAATCCAATTAAAGATTATTAAGTGGCAGCAGTTGAAGGACACTGACCAGTCTTTAAACTGGCTCTTCCATTAACATAAACATATCTGCATGACTGAAAGAACAAAAGCTTAAATAGAAAATAATTTGCTTTCAAAACCCAAGGAGAGAAAAACTGTAATTTTTGCTTCAAAGAATTTGCTAATTATCTGGAGATGGCGGGGCGGGGGGGGGGGACACAACATCTATAAAACAATGTATTATTAAACATCTATAAAAACAATGTATATTCTTGGCAGTCAAAGCTGAAAGACCTTAGGGGTAACCTAGCAACAAAAAAAGAATATGAAGTATTCTATTACAGACAGGACTAATTGCTACTCAGCTGCTTTTTAGTTGTTGATTCAGTCACAATTCTTACACTTTATATAACCAATTACATATCTTAGAAAGCAACTTTGAATATTTCAATAAATACAACCAAGAATGAAACTCATTTCTTCTCTAAGAGTATTGCTATGACATAAATAGTTTCTTTCAACTTAGCTCAAATCCAGAGCTTTTATTACCTATTCAAAAAAGCATCATTATTGGACAACCAAGATGGCAGTGTAGGTAAAAAAAAAATGCCAGTACTCGCTGCCTCTCTCAACACATCAAAATTACAACTAAAATACAGAAAAGCCATCATTCAAAACCGCCTGAAATCTACTTGAATGGAAGCCCTACAACTAGAAAGGTTAAGAAGAAAGCACATCAAGACTGGTAGGAGGGGCAGAGGCGTGGAACAGGCCAGTGCGACACCCACGTGTGGCATGTTTTTTGCTTTGTTTTGTTAAATATCTTTTTATCGACTTCACAGAGGAAGGGAAAGAAGTGAGAGAAACATCAATGATGAAAGAGAATTACTGAGGGGCTGCCTCCTGCACACCCTACACTGGGGATCAAGCCCACCACCCAGGCATTGTGCCCCAGATCAGAATCAAACCTGGAACCCTTCAGTCTGCAGGCTGACACTCTATCTACTGAGCCAACTGGCTAGGGCTATTATTAATATTATTATTACTATTAATTATTGATTTCAGAGAGCAAGGGAGAGGGAGAGTATGAGAGAAACATCAATGATGAAAGAGACTCATTAATGGGACGTGTGGCACGTTTTTTAATCAGAAGGGCTATTTCCCCTGCAAAGTCCTCCCATAAGTAACAAGGGGTTCCCAGCCCAACACCAGACCCCTAGCCCAAGGTTCCAGAGCTGGGAAGAGAAATCCATGTAACTTCAGGCTGTAAAAACCAGCCAGATTATAGATGAGTGACATGGAGGCTGTTGGAGTCCCAGGTGTTCCTCTTAAAGGCCACTCTACCAATTCCAAAAGACATAACAGCTCTACCTAATATAAAGAAACATAAACAAGGGCCGAAGCTGGTTTGGCTCAGTGGTAGAGCGTCGGTCTACGGACTGAAAGGTCCCGGGTTCGATTCCGGTCAAGGGAATGAACATTGGTTGCGGGCATATCCCCGGTGGGGGGTGTGCAAGAGGCAGCTGGTCGATGTTTCTCTCATCGACATTTATGGCTCTCTATCTCTCTTCCTTCCTCTCTTTAAAAAATCAATAATATATATATATATATAAATATATATATATATAAATAAAAAGGCAGCCGCGCCGCCACTATCAGTATCAGTATGGGAGCTGTTTACCCCGTATTCTCCTCCCCTCTCGGCGCTTCCACTTCCTCGTTGTTTTGAACAAACTTTATTGACTACTCCGAAAAAAAAAAATTATATATATATATATATATATATATATATATATATATATATATATATAAACATAAACAAGGAAGTAGTCAAAACGTGGAGACAAAGAAACACACCACAAATGAAAGAACAAAAGAAATCTCCAGAAAGAGTAATAAATTAAATGGAAGCAAACAAACTACTGGATACAGAGTTAAAAACAATGGTTATAAGGTTGCTCAAGACTCTTAATGATAATTTCAAAGACATGAAAAAGAACTAGGAAAAAATAAAGGCTACACTAACTGAAATGAAGAATAATTTACAGAGAATCAATAGTAGAGTAGATGAAGCCAAGAATCAAATAACTGATTTGGAATATGAGGAAGCAAAAAACACTCAGAACAGCAATAATAAAAAATAATCCAAAAAAATGAGGACAGGGTAGGGAGCTTCTGGGAAAACTTCAAGTGTACCAACATTCACATCATGGGGTTTTCGGAAGGAGAACAGAGAGAGCAAGAAATTGAAAATATATGAAAAAATAATGATAGAAACCTTGCCTAATTTGGTGAAGGAAATAGACATACAAGTCCAGAAAGCACAGAATCCCAAAGATGAGGAACCCAAAGAGACCCACATCAAGGTACATCATAATTAAAATGCAAAGGTTAAAGACAAAAAGAAGCTTAAAAACAGCAAGAGAAAAGTCGTTATCTACAAGGGGAACATCCATAAGACTGTCAGCTGATTTCTCAACAGAAACTTTGCAGGCCAAAAGGGATTGGCAAGAAATATTCAAAATGAGGAAAAGCAAGGACCTATAACCAAGATTACTCTACCCAGGAAAGTTATTTAGAATCAAAGGACAGCTAAACAGCTTCACAGACTAAAGGAGTATCCCCCTCAGCCCAGCCTGCATCCTCTCCAATATGGGACATCGCTCTCACAATCCAGGACTCTGGCTCCCAACCGCTCGCATGCCTGCCTGCCTGCCTGCCTGCCTGACTGCCCCTATCCACTTCTGCCTGTCAGCCTGATCACCCCCTAACCACTCTCTTGCCAGCCTGACTAACGCCTAACTGCTCCCCTGCTGGCCTGGTTGTCCCTAACTGCCTCCCCTGCTGACCTGGTCACCCCTAACTGCCTCCCCTGCAGGCCTGATCACCTCCCAACTGCCCTCCCTTTCAGGCCTTGTCCCTCCCAGCTTCCTCCCCTCCACCCCCGCTGGCCTGATTGTCCAAAACTGCCGTCCCCTGCCAGCCATCTTGTGTCCACATGGGGGTGGCCATCTTGTGTGTTGGAGTGACAGTCGATTTGCATATTACCTCTTTATTAGATAGCATGTTAAACGGTCTTCTTTAAGAAGAAAAACAAAAAATATGAACAGTAGAATGGTAACAAATACATATCTATCAACAATTAAATCTAAAAAATAAACGAACAAGCAGGACAAAAACAGAATCACAGATACAGAGAACATTTTGACTATTGCCAGATGGGAGGGTGGTGTGAGATGGGTGAAAAAGATTAAGGGATTAAGAAGTACAAATTGGTTATTACAGAACTGTCACAGGGATGTAAAGTATAGCATAAGGAATACTGTCAATAATAGTCAAATAACTGTATAGTATCAGATGGGTGCAGGATTTATCAGGATGACCACGTATTAAGTATGTATTATCTAGTTGCTGGGGTGTATGCCTGAGACTAATATAATAGCATATGTCACTTGTGACTGAAAATAAATAATTATTTTTAAAATAAATAAAGGGAATTAGAAAATAAAAAAATAAAAGGAATTAATAAAAGCATCTTTACATGTATATAACTTTGGGGGAAATCACTCAAACTTCTTTACAACCTCAAGATATTCAAAATTTGAAAGTTATGCTATGATTTAAGATCCCCAGCAATTCTGAAATAGCTATGATGCAATAAGGTATCCAGAATATGAAAAAGTTCTTGTTAACAATTGTCCCTTTGATGACTTTATTTATATAGTAATTCACTCTTTTCTTTTCCTTCTGTAATTACAAGAATTACCCCATGTCCTCAAATATCAGTGCAAGCTACAATAAACTGAGTACAAATAATGGACAATAGGTCAGAACACAAGTTTCAGTTATTATTTTATTTATTCAACCTACAGCATGCCAGGGGCTTTGTGAGGCAGTAAGGATAAAGAAAGGAATAAAACACAGTTCTTACCCTGATGAATAAAAATGTTTTTGCAGTGATTTGCACTAAGAAGGTAAGTCAGGCAGGATGAAGGCACAGAGTTCCCTTAGAAACTGGGTGTGCTATTCCAGATGGCCTTTGTAATGCAGTGAAACTACAGCCAAAATCTGGATGGAAGGCGGAAGACAGCCATGATGACACGGAGGGAACAAATGTTTGGAGCAGGATGCATAAGCACAGAGGCCTTAAAGCAAGAAAAGCTAAGAATGTTCAAAATCACCAACGGAATGGCAGCCTAGAGGACTTAGGGTAAGAACAAAACCAGATGCCGTCAGAACGGTGAACAGACCAGACAATGCAGGGCCAGGACAGCCGTGATGAGCACTGAACTGCCGTCTCCATGTGATGGGAAACGTCTTGGACAGGGAATTAACATTGCTTAAGTTACATTCTGAAAGGATTACTCTGAAAATAAACTTTAGGTGCTGTGACAGACTAAAGCTAAGAATATTGGTTAGGCTAGCACAAGAGCTCAGGTAAATTACCAGGACCACTCTCACTAAGAGAAAAGTAGCTGCTACAGTGAGAACCATTCGGATTCTAGGTGTTTTGTTTTTTTTAAAGGAAAGCCAACAGGATCAGCTGATGAACTCAGGCAGGTTATAAAAGAATGTCAATGATACCTCCATAGTTTTTGGCCTCAGGAAGTGGATAAATGGAAATTAAATCTTAAGACCTAGAAATTCTTACAATACATTAAATTCATCTGCTCAGAAATAGCATAAGCATTGCTGACATAAAACTGATAAAGCAAAAACAGAATGACTCCTTTTTCTACTCACCATTTGCAGATTGTATCATGTTTCCAGATTTTTGGACTTCATCAAATTTTGTAAAAATTAAATTCAACCTGTATGAAAAAATATAAATTATTAACCATCACTGAAAAAAACAGGGATACAAAGCCACCTAATAACAAAGCAGTGTCTATAACAATAACATCAACAAACACTGAGGGCCCTAGCGGACAGATCTTGTTTAACCCTTGTAACAGCCTTCTATGGGATTATTACCATCCCCATTTTACAGACCCAAGAAATCAAGAACTCCACAGCTAGCATAGGTGATACAGCTGGGGTGGAGATTCCAGTCCTTAGATTAAGAATCCAGAGCTCGTGCTCTCAGACATTATATTAAATTTATTAATCTATACAAAATGAATTTGCATTATAAAAAGCATATATTTCTGACTAAGCACAGACTGCTAATTACTTAGGATAAAAAATTTTAAAATGCTCTAAACATTATAAAGGCTTTTCTTTTCTATGATTTATGCTTAATTTAAAAATGCTGTAGACAGAGAATGAAGATGGTGGTATTAGGTAAATACTCCTAAACAGCTGCCAGGCACAAGTCCAAAAAAACCCTATAAATTAACGTCTATCTCCCCAAAACCAAACGAAATCTGGCTGAGAGGAAGCCCTACATCTAGACTGAAAGAGAAAGAGGAGAATCCTGGGCACAGCGCTGAAAAACTGAGGTAGGGGGGCGCAGACGCGATAAGGGCAGGCGGTGGATCCAGGCTGGTGGAGGCCGGTTCTTTCTTCAACCCAAAGAGAGACAAGCGCCTGATCTCTCTGTAATCCAGTTTCTGAGGAGAGGCTAGACTGTCTGCCATCGGGTAAGAAAGTGAGGCTGGCCTGCTTGCAGAGCTGAGATTGTTTACTGTACTGTGGTGTGAGACACGGGGAGATGCAGGGACGCCATCGGAAAGGCAGTGGACAGACAGCAGCCACTGCTGGTGGCCACGCCCCTGCCTTGATGCCCTGAGACTCTGCCCCTCGCAACACATCCAAGCTACAAGCATCGGACTTTGCATATAAATGGCCCTCTCTGTTGAGTTTAGCAAAATTGCAACCTGGGGCAAACAGATCCAAGGAGGACAGGACTATAGTTCACGCTGTAACTTCTCCAACAGTACTGGCCTCAGACGGTAGCTGACCGGTACCTCATTGAGACCCAGAAACCAGAGTTCTAGTGCTCAGTTTCAATCCCTCACACCCATAAGTGACACATTCGGGAGACGGTCTCAGTGAGCACCAAAGCCCCACTGAAACAAGGTGTGTCTCCAGTGCAGCAGTTCTTCCTTTATAGCACAGCGGATCCTCACAGACATTGGCCTGGAGGTCAATTCCTCCCAGTGTACCAACAGCAATCAAGGCTTAATTACACCAAGACTGTGCACTAAGCCCACAAAGGGATATTGCAAAGGCAACCACCTCAGGTGATTGAGGAAGCTGAGCTACTGACCCCTATAGGTCACCGACCACACTAAGCCACTCCATCAACACAAGGAGGCAGCCAAAATGAGGAAACACAGAAGCATGACATGAATGGGAGAGAGGGAGGAGAGTAAACTACTGGACGACACACAGTTCAGAATCACATTTATAAGATTACTCAAGAATCTTCTAAAAACCTTTGAGAAACTTGATGAGACCTCCAAGAAGTTTGATGAGACCTTCAAGGACTTTAATGAGAATACCAAAAAATGGAAATGGACCAGCCAGAAATTAAGCATACAAAGTCTGAAATAAAGAATATACAGAAACTCAACTAGAGATCAACATGCCCCAAGAATCAAACCAAAGAACTGGAATATAAGAAAGCAAAAATCACCCAACCAGAGAGACAAAAAGAAAGAAGAATCCAAAAGTGTGAGGATAGTGTAAGGGGCCTCTAGGATGGCTTAAAATGTACCAACATTTGGATTTTTGGGGTGCCAGAAGAAGAGAGGGAGCAGAATATTGAAAACTTAACGGAAGAAATAATGACAGAAAACTTTCCCTACCTGGTGAAAGAAATAGACCTAAAGCTCACAGGACACCAAACAGGAGGAATCCGAAGAGAAACACACCAAGACACATCATAATTAAGATGCCAAGAGCAAAAGACAAATAGAAAATCTTACAAGCAGCAAGAGAAAAACAACTAGTTACCTACAAGGGAGTACCCCATACGACTGTCAGCTGATTTCTCAACAGAAACTATGCAGGCCAGAAGGGAGTGGCAAGAAATATTCAAAATGATGAACAACAAGCACCTACAACCAAGATTACTCTACCCAGCAAAGCTATCATTCAGAATTGAAGATCAGATAAAGAGTTTCACAGACAAGAAAAGTTAAAAGAGTTCATCAACACCAAACCAGGATTACATGAAATGCTGAAAGGTATTCTTTAAGAAGAGGAAGGAGACAAAAAGGTAAAAATAAAAAATTATAAACAACAAAAAGAAATCAAATACATACCTACCAACAAAAGAATCTAAAAATCAAGAAAATAAAAAAAAATCTGAAAAACAAAATGGACTGGTGAATATAATAGAATCAGGGACATAGAAAGGGACTGGACTAACAATTCACAGGGGGAAAGGGGTCTTAGGGGTGTGGGAAGAGATTGAATAAAAATCTTACATCTATGGATGAAGACAGTGGTGGGGGTAAAGGCATGGGGTAAGGTAGGGAATCAGGTGGGGGCGGGCTAAAAGGAGGAGGGAAGAGGAATAATTTGAACAATAAAGATTTTACAAAATAAATAAAAAAATAAATTAAAATGCTGTAAATAATTTCTCTACAAACATTGTAACTGGATAATCTTCATCTAAAAAAAAAAGCAACATGACATCCATTTTTTTTATTAGTGGATCATTTTCACCTTGACATTTAAATTGAAGCAAAACTCAATATTCTAGGAGAATCCAAGATGGCTGCCCAGGTAAACACCTAGCTGCAGTTTAGGTAAACACCTAAACACCACACAACAATTTCAATAAAATACAACTAAAATATAAAATGGACATTACCCAGAACTACAGGAAAGCCGACTGACTGGAAATTCTACAACGAGAAGCAAGGAGAAAACCAGAAGGAAGCTCGGAGGAGCTGTAAAAGCCTGAGGTACGGAGACAGGCGGCGCGGAGAGGACGGAGCCAGAGAGGAAAGAGGCCGAGTGCCTGGCTGGCGTTCCCTATCAGGAAGGAGATATAAGCTCTGACTGTGCTGGGCCTCAGTTCCGACTGTTCTGAACCCCAGTTCTAGGCCAGACCCCGGGGACCCAGGCTCATCCAGAGGGAGCTGGGCTATAAGGCCGGAATCCCGGGGGAGCGGCGAAAGGAGGTCCCAGCGGCGCACACATTGCACGCAAAGAAGGGACGGTTGGCTGTGCCACGGGATTGCCCTGGCGGGGAAATAGGGGTTCCAGACTGCTTTGAACGCCACCTCCAATCCCACTACCAACTGAACTGAACCCCAGTTCCGGGCTCATTGGGGGAGAGCCTAGACTGTTTGGTAGCAGGCGAAAATCGAGGGCATCTTTCTCTCAGAGGCCCTTGCAACAAGTACTGAAGGACCCTGAGACCCAGGAGCCGCATAGGGCGGGGCTGACGGAAGCCAAAGCTGTAGGCTCCACCCTGAAACCCCGCCACATCTGTAGCTGCGAAATGCAATGAAATAGATCACAAATGAAAGAAATGTAGGACAAAAAGCGACTGGGTATAGAGTTCAAATCTACACTTATAAGGTTTTTCAAGAATTTCCTAGAAAAGACCTATGAGGATATGAAAAGGGATCAACAAGAAATTATAAGGGATCAACAAGAAATGATAAGGGATCAACAAATGATAAGGGATCAACAAGAAATAAAGAATACATTGTCTGAAATAAAAAATATTATACAGAGTCCTAAAAACAGAATGGAAGATCACAAGAATCAAGTCAAAGAGTTGGAACATAAAGAGCTAGAAGACACTCCTCCACAGAAGCTAGAAGGCAAGAGAACCCAGAAAACTGAAGATAATATAAGAAACCTCTAGGATAACTTCAAGCGAACCAACATCAGAATTATGGGGGTCCCAGAAGATGAGAGAGAGCAAGATATTGAAAACATACTGAAAGAAACAGTGACAGAAAACTTCCCCCACCTGGTGAAAGAATTAGACTTACAAGTCCAGGAAACACACAGAACTCCAAACAAAAGGAATCCAAACAGGACCACACCAAGACAAATCATAATTAAAATTCCAAGAGCAAAAGACAAAGAGAAAATATTAAAAGCAGCAAGAGCAAAGAAGGTAGTTACCTATAAAGGAGCACCTATACGATTGTCAACTGATTTCTCAACAGAAACCATTCAGGCCAGACGGGAATGGCAAGAAATAGTCAAGGTGATAAATAGTAAGAACCTACAGCCAGAGATAATCTATCCAGCAAAGCTGTCACTCAGAATCGAAGGTAAGATAAAGAGCTTCACTAATAAAAAAAAGCTAAAGGAGTTCATCACCACCAAACCAGAATTAATTGCTGAAGGGGGTTCTTTCAGAGGAGAAAGTAGATAAAGATAAAAATTATGAACAACAAATACGTAACTATAAACAAGTGAATCTAAAAACCAAGGAAATTAAAAAAAATGTGATGAACAATATTAACTGTTGAATATAATAGAATCAGAGGTATGGAAGGGGAGTGAACTGACAATTCTTAGGGAAAAGGGGAGTGGGGGATGTGGGAAGAGACTGAACATAAACTGTGCACCTATGGATGAGGACAATGGGGGGTGGGGAAAGGGCAGAGGGTGGGGTGGGAACCTGGTGGAGGAGAGTAATGGAGGGGGGGGGAGGAATATTTGTATTAATATGAACAATAAAATTTTATTAAATAAATAAATAATTTTTTTAAAAAAAAACACACACAAAAAAACTCAATATTCTATCTGAGTGACACCAAAAATTAGAGGTACATTTGGGGGGGAGGGTAATTCCCAAGAAAAAAAGAGGTATTCCCAAGCAAACATAAATACATTTGAATAGCCGAGACCGGTTTGGCTCAGTGGATAGAGCGTCGGCTTTGGGACT